TTCTCTTCACAGCTCAGTGTGCAGTGAGGACCAGGAAGCAATACAGGCTCAGAAGATCTGGAAGAAAGCCATCATGCTGGTTTGGAGAGCAGCAGCTAATCACAGGTGAGTTTGATATTTGGCAAAAAGAAGTGACTAATCCTAGACAAGTCTCCACTCTCCCATCTCAGAGGCTTATCTCTCTTAGGAGATGATGAATCATTGTTACAGACAAATAAACAGGACAGCATGAAACAAATATTTACCAGCAAGAACAGGCCACTGAGTGGACTCTTTCTCTCTGTAGGTATGCCAATGTCTTCTTACAGCCTGTAACTGATGACATAGCACCAGGCTACCACAGCATCGTGCAGAGGTAAGTCTCAGCAGTCTTCTGTCACTATAACTCTGTATGTTTACATATTTGTAGGGATTTCTGGCAGCAACAATGTAGTTTTTGCCTGCTGTTCAGACTTGGAAAAGTATTCTTTTTCTGACATGATTCAGTCAGAAGCAGGTTTCCCCAAGACAAGAGTCATCAGTAACAGGCACATGCCTGTACACAGTCCTGACTTTGTGTGAAGTACACTGAGTTACACAGAACATTTTATCAGTAAGGTGAAACTGATCTGTTTCTCCCAGTTTCTATCTAAGATTAGGATTTAACCTTTTGAATTTCTAAAAGCTCTTCTTTAGTCAACATTTTTTGCTGTCCCAGATGGTGGTCTTTTCTGGAAGAGTTACCAGAATTCCCTGCTAGCTGCTGAAATCTCTTGTAAACAATTCAAGTTCAGTGGCTGCAGCTCTAGCTCCTTAGTTTATTTGTCAGTGGTGCCTGGAGAAGGCAAATGCTTCTCCTGAGAGATATCTGAGGCTGTTGTTACTATTCCAGGTAACTGCTGGACACCTTTTGTCTTCTGACCCAGGCCTTGGAGCTGGGGAGCACAGCCCATGGGGGGAGAACCTGTTCAGCTAAATGAAATAGGCTGTAACTAAACACATTACAGACCCAGGGCTGTTTCCAAAGGAGATGGGGAAGAATTAAGCATTTCTGTTGCAATTTTGCCTGCATTTCTTTCACAGGCCAATGGATTTATCTACCATCAAAAAGAACATTGAGAACGGGCTGATCCGAACCACAGCTGAGTTCCAGCGGGATATTATGCTGATGTTTCAGAATGCAGTGATGTACAACA